GGGACTTCCGGGTGTGCTCATGGAGTAGTCGGTCGCATTGAAACCTCTCTCCCACTCTAACCTCGAAAATCCCGTTCGAACTCGCAATTCTGTTTGTTATTTATAACAAAATAATTCATAAGAGGGAGAAGAAGCATGCTAGGCCACAAATAAATCGATAAAAATGCCCAAAGCTCATAATAAAAGTGCCCCAGCCGCAAAAGCTAATACTCAACCGGACCAAGCTAGCGACGACACGGCTGGCGCGGGAACGGGGAGCCCCGGGAAAAGTATGGACACCGCTGAGGTACTTAAGGCAATAGGGGAGTTAAAATCCGATTTGCAAGGAGACAATGCAAAGCTCAAACTGGATATCGGCCAATTGGGACAAGAAATCAACGGTAAACTGGATATTATTGCAACCGATGTACAAGGCCTATCACAGCGCATGGATGAAGCGGAGGCCCGCGTGAACCAGGTGGAGAGCTGGGCAGAGGAGGCGACTGAGGCGCTGTGCACCTGTCTCGAACAGCAGAGGAAACTTCAGATCAAAGTGCTTGACTTAGAATCACGATCCAGAAGAAATAACATACGTGTCTTTGGGATACCAGAAGGTCAAGAGGGGGTCTCTGTAACGCAGTTCATTGAGAAGCTTTTGCAGAGCCAGCTACAACTACCGGAGGACTTTAACCTTAAAATACAACGCGCACATCGGGCTCTTGCAAGTAAACCCCCGCCCGGAGCTTCACCGAGGGCTGTAATTGTTAACTTTCTGGAGTTTTCTACGAAAGAAATGATCTTGAGGGAAGTGTGGAAAAAAGGCAAGATACAGGTGGGCACCGCATTTATACACTTCGACCATGACTACGCACCCGAGATTGTTAAGAGGCGCAAAGAATACAACGCAATTAAAAAAATACTCAAGGACAAAGGCATACGTTTCCAAACGCCGTTCACTAACATGAGGATCCACTGGGAGTCTGGCGTGCGCACATACTCCAGCGCTCGGGAAGTCTATAAGGAGCTGAAGAGACGCGGATTTCAAGTGGAGGAGCCGGTTACAGACGACGGAGGGCCCAGCGCGGAGTCTCGTCTTCGGGAGCTATTGGGCTGGCAGCCGGCGCGCAGCAGCGGACCCGCTGTGGCGCTCAGAGCGAAGGCTAAACTGCAAGAATTCCAGAGGGATCAGTCGGATTAATAAGGTGCAGGGCATCATGCTACAACGCAATGTTTTTTTTGCTATTTTTTTTTTTAGGCCAGGTCCTGATTATCTAATACGTGGGAGAGGCCACTCTTTATCGACTACGTTGGACTAATAAGATGGACGTGTTTTCAGACACATCTACTGTCTTTTTCGGGCCCTCTCATCCAGAGAGACTTAACCCTCAACCTGCCAACGGGGTTACAGGGGAGGAGGAAGGATCCTCTTTCCGTTTGGAAGTCAGTTCATTAAGGTTCTTTTTTGTTTTTGTTCAATGTGTGTTTTGTTCAATGTTTTTAGGGGCCGCTAAACCATGTAAGTGTTTTCGTTACTATAATCAATGTCGTTTGATTTAAAAATTGCTTCTTTGAATGTAAATGGACTGAGTAATCCAGTGAAAAGAAAAAGGGTGCTAGCTAAATTGAGAAGAGATGGGACACAAGTAGCTTTTCTACAGGAGACTCATATGTCTAAGCAAGAACATGATAAGTTTAAAACATTTGGGTACTCTAATACATTTCATAGCTGGTGTAAAAATAGTAGGAAAAGAGGGGTGGCTACTCTCATTTCCAACTCTTTAAACTTTGAATTAATCTCTGAAAAGGTTGATAAAGAAGGCAGGTTTATTATCGTAAAAGGGAGAATTGATAATGTTTTTGTTACGTTCGCTAATGTTTACGTCCCACCGGAAAGTGACAGGAAGTTTTTTAAACTGCTTTTTGATGCAATAATCTCAGTAAGTGAGGGGATTCTAGTTTGTGCTGGAGATTGGAATACAATTCTAAATTATACCATGGATACAACCAGCTCCAAAAAACAAAAGACTGGCAGGTCAAAAGATCTTAATAGTTTAATTAGAGAGACGGGTATGTTCGATGTCTGGAGGGACTTTCACATTAAAGAGAGAGATTTTACCCATTATTCTCTCACACATAAAGTTCACTCCAGGATTGACTTCTTTTTAATGAACACCATTGACAGGTTTAGAGTGAAGGAATGCAAAATTGGAACTTCTGATATATCTGATCACAATATTGTTTATCTATCTATTAATTTATCTAACCAACCAAAAACAACTTTATGGCGCTTAAATATAAGCATTCTCAACAATGAAACCACAAGGAATGACATTAAGAAGGAAATAGTAGAATGCATAGAAGATAATAACAATGGTCAGGTAAATCCGGTTCTGGTTTGGGATACAGTTAAAGCAGTAATGAGAGGCAGACTTATTTCAAAAACTGCCTATTTGAAGAAGATAAAACGATTAAAATATGATGAGTTGGAAAAGACACTTAGGAGTTTAGAACTAAAACAGCAAGAAAGTACTAATGATCAAGAATTGACCAAACAAATAACAGTTATTAAAAATAATATAAATGATATGATACACGAGGAGATAGAGAAAAAATTACGATTTTCAAAACAGACCTTTTACGAATCTGGTTCAAAAGCCACAAGAATTCTAGCAAGGCGCCTCCGAAAGCAACAATTGAAGTACTCGATTACCAAAATTAGAGACCCTTTAACTGATAGTTTGACTTATGATATCAATCAAGTTCATAAAATCTTTGAAAATTATTATCAAACATTATACACACCCTCAAAACCAGTAAATGAAAGCGTTATTACACAGTATTTGAGAGGTTTAGACTTGCCTTCCCTAGGATTAATACAAAACGGCGCATTAACTACCCCTATTACTCGAAAAGAATTGGACGCAGCTATTGGAAATCTGAAAACTAACAAATGCCCAGGTAGCGATGGGTTTTCAAATGAGTGGTACAAGATTTTCAAAGAGGAACTCGCTTCTGTTCTGCTGGAGTCTTTTAATTGGTCTCTGAGTAGAGCAGAGATACCGCCATCATGGAGAGAGGCAGTAATATCTGTCCTCCCTAAGGAAGGAAAAAATATACAATATTGTGAGTCATATCGTCCGATCTCAATACTGAATGTCGATTATAAAATCTTTACCTCTATAATCTCTAAGAGAATGGAGAATTATCTTATAGATTTGATTCATGAGGACCAAACAGGATTCATTAAAGGCCGCCAAACTCTAGACAGTATAAGACGAACATTGCATGTCATGGACCAAGCCAAGAAACAACAACTGAGTTTGGCTTTAGTCAGCCTCGACGCGGAGAAAGCCTTTGATCGGGTCAGCTGGCCCTTTTTATACAAGGTACTCGAGCGTTTTGGCTTTAACAATCAATTTATCAGATGTATTCAGTCACTGTATGACAGGCCGATGGCCAGGGTAAAAATTAATGGCCACCAAACTGATAGATTTCAACTGTTTAGAGGTACTCGACAAGGCTGTTGCCTCAGTCCAACGCTCTTCGCATTATTCATAGAACCCTTGGCACAGGCTATTAGGCAAAATGAAGAGCTTAAAGGCATTACTATTGCAAGTACTGAACATATAATTGGACTTTTTGCAGATGATGTTATCGCCTACCTCCAAAACCCAGAGGCAAGCCTCCCTAAATTTATGAGAACTTTGACAGAGTTTGGTCAGCTGTCTGGTTATAACCTAAACATTACCAAAACACAAGTCCTGACCATTAACTACTCCCCCAGTAAATCTATACGGCACAATTATAAACTTAATTGGGAAGCTAAAAAGTTAAAGTATCTAGGTGTGTTTATCTCCCAAGATCTAGACGATTTGTTCAGTTTGAATTTCGAGAAAGTTAGTGACTCAATACAAAAAGACATGAACCGCTGGTCAATGCTGATACTAGACTTCAATTCCAGATTGGAAATAGTGAAGATGAACCTGCTTCCTAGATTTTTGTATCTTTTTATGTCGTTGCCTATCAGGATTTCTGACTCACACTTCCACGCTTGGGACCGGTTAATATCACGATTTATCTGGGCAGGGGCTAGACCAAGGATAAAATTTAGAACACTTCAGATTGATAAAGATCATGGCGGGCTAGCCCTTCCAAATCTGAAGGAATACTACTACGCATCTCAAATGAGATATATGGTCTACTGGTGTTCCCCAGAAATCGAAGCTCAATGGAGACAGATCGAACTAACCCAGGGTCAGAGCCAACCTCAAACCCGTCTAGGAGGCAAAATTATCACAAACAAAGATGGGAATCGTATAGTTGAAGACACGCTTTTAATTTGGAAAGAGGTTGTAAATAAATACAAATTGGCTAATGATATTAAACTCTTGATCTGGCCCTCCTGCAACCCGAGTTTTCGACTTGGTGAAATAGATTCTTCATTCTTGAGTTGGAAAGATCAAGGCCTTATGGCCCTGTGCCAGTTTGTAGATGGTAATACCTTTAAGACATTCGAACAACTCAAGAGACAATATAATCTAGAGAACAGGGACCTATTCAAATATTTCCAAGTGAGACATTTCTATAACAGTGAAATAAGGGTGGGTATTTCTCCTGAGGGCAATGACATTGTTCAAGTTTTTATTAATGCTTATAAGCTCCAACCAAGTAAAACTGTCTCTAAATTGTATAAAGCTCTGCAGAAACAAAATGGAAATAATACCTTGTATATTAAGTCAAAATGGGAAAAGGAGCTGTGTATGGAAGTGTCAGAGGGTGATTGGCTTTCGATGTGTGTGACACAACAAACGTCTACTAGCTCGAAAAGATGGAGGGAATTTGGGTGGAAGAATCTGGTCAGATTTTTCATTACACCTCATATTATTAATAAACTAAGGGGTGAACAACAGCAATGCTGGCGGCAGTGTGGGCATTGGAACGCCAATCACTCTCATATATTTTGGACGTGCTCAAAGTTAGAGCAATTCTGGGACAGTATCTTTCTAATTACTGGGAGTATAATGGGTTATGTCATCCCTAGAGATCCCAAGATTTTCTTGCTAGGTCTACTACCTGGTGAGGTGGTCCAAAAAGATGACATTTATCTTTTTAAAATTCTAACGATTGCATGTAAAAAGGCTATCACTCGGTCTTGGCTAAAGATCGACCCACCTCGGATTGAGCAATGGAAAGAAATAGTGGAGGAGATTCACTCAATGGAGAAAATGACATACTTTCTACGTATCAAAGGTCACATATATAATAAGCATTGGGAAAAATGGCTTGCATATAAAGAAGCGGAGCAATTCTAACACTTTAATTGTAATACTTTATTTTGTTATTATACAATATCTGGTGCCCCTTGTTCTTTGTTTTTGTATGTTGTGTTGTAATAAGAAAAATGCAAAATAAAGAGTAATAAAAAAAAAAAAAGTCAAATAAAAATAAATGCAATATAAAGAAACATGTGCAAATGAGATATAAAAATGCATAAGAGATACTACGCATAAAAAGTACCATACTAAGAAACTTGGTGTGTTTTGACTATGCTTATACAATTACTGACTGTAGTGGCTTTAAGCCATTGAGTGTAGTGCTTTAAGAATATTCATGTACGTGTAGTATAACAGTATCGCACTAGAAATATATTTAATGTATACGAACAACATTGATTGTATTAGAACTACAATCCTTGACTGTAGTTCTGTAACAGCCATGTATGTGGAAACCTTTGTCTGCACTAAAACCATTGACTGCAGTGATGGTAATAATTTAGCCATCCGTCATATGACATTACACTGAAAATATTTCACACAAATTCACTCTCATAGGATTACGTCTTGTCACTTGTTGTTAAGCACCCAAGCCTTCCACGCATTTTTCTCATTTTCCCTCTTTTTTGTCTGTGAATCTGTTTGTTTCCCCCTTCTTTATCATCGTTGTTTGTCTCTCCATCATCTCACCATCCTTCTCCCTCCTGCATCCCGCCTTCTTCATCCTCTTTCCATCCCTTGATCCTTCCCTTCTCCTCCCTCTTCCCTTCAATCAGAATCATATTTCCCCAGTTTTTTTTCCTGAGGAAGAAAGAGTTTCTAATGGAATTATAGTTCCTCACATCAGCATAGTCTATCATACAACAACACACACATTCACACACACGCAACATGACTGTGCATATGCATGTGGCAGGACAGACACACAGTGAGACATGCGGTCAGATTAGTGACCTCAGTATTATTAAAGTTTTACTCTCCACTAATCCTCACACTCTCACTCATGCAGCGAGCACACAAACACACACACACACACTCCCAGTGCGGTACACCCTATGAGAGGGGCAGGCAATGTGAGATAAACTGATCAGGCAGCAGTAGCTACAATATGCTGAAAGTGATTATGTGTGCGAATGTGTGTGTGTGTGTGTGTGTGTGTGTGTGTGTTTGTGAGCGATAGAGAGATGATGTGAAGTCAGGAAGTAGATATAAAGTTGATGGTGGAAAGAAAGAGGAATATCTTTTTTTATTCATTATACGTGCTTATATGTATGTGTAATAAAAGTCATAAAAGTATTGACTTCTATCTGGTCTGCTTTTTAAATCCCAAAAACCCTCTAAAATCAAACCCAGAGTTTAGAGAAAATATGGAAAATATACTTCCATCTAAGAAATGAGATGCTCCAAATTGAAACCGCAGTGGTATTTCCCATAAGGCACAGCTGCATCTGATACCAAAGTGACTTCACCGTGGATGAATGTAAAGAACAAGTCCTTGGGCACTATTGCTGTATTCAAAGCACACTGCTCCTAAATATTTGCAGACATATCTTCGGTTGTTGTTGTTGTTTAGTCAGTGCCTCTGTTTTACAATTACCTCTAGGGCATTCCATTTTTATTTTAGTTGTAATAAAAATATTAAAGTTTATTTATGTAACACTTACACAAGGCTAAACAAACATTACAACATGCTATTTAAGATGTCTAAACAAATACTACAACAGGCTATTTAAGTAAATATTTCAATGTGCTTTATAACAATAAAGCAAGTCAAAATTCTGAAATAGTATATTAGCCAATCTTGAAAAATAAAAAATGAATTACTTCCTCAGGCAGGTCAAGGTGCCCCCCCCCCCCTCTTCTAAGCAAATTCCATAAGGGACTGTAATTTAAAATTGCCAGTTGTATTGCAGTAACAAATTATATACAATAACAAAACATTAGATGGGAAACATGTTTAACTGTTAGAGGACTGGTCCATGATGGTTAGCTTGGTGCACAGACTGGAGGCAGGGTCGTGTTAGCTAACCCCCACCAAAAGAGGAAGGGACGCTCTGGTAACCTCAAGTTTGTCCTGTTTCCACATTATGTAACGTTAACTTACAGTTAAGCTAACTGACGAGCACGTTGTTGTTTTGTTGTATAATCTTTTTGCTTCATATTTGGAGTGCTGCCTGTTGTTCCCGGGGCTAAGCTAGCTGCTGACGGCTAAAAACAATGCTAGATTGGCCAGCTTGTTTTCTGACTTATTTCTAAACATGTCAGATGTGGAATGTACTTAAGTATAAATAGTTATGTATAGCTACTAATGTGCTGTTCTTAAGTGCAGTTTTGAGGTTGATGTACTTTACTTACAGTATTTTCATTATACTATTACTTCGTAACATTTCAGATAAAAATACTGGAACCCACTAACATTATGACAGCTAAATTACTGGTTACTTTATAGAACAATCCAATGCAATCCAATTCATCCAAAACACACAAATTGACAAATTGAAAATGCTGCACATGAATGCGTCAGTAAAAATAATCGAATACAACAGTAAGATGCGCCATTCTGCTTCATAAAAGGTAAGGTTTTAATGTAATGTTAACGTGCCCCGCCTTTCGCCCGATGTATGCTGGGATTGGCTCCAGCGCCCCGCGACCCTGTATGCAGGATAAGCGGTGGACGATGGATGGATGGATGGTAATGTTAATGAACTTCAACCTGTTACATGTAATTAGTGATAGCTCAATTCAATAGCTGCTTTGGTTTTACGCTCCTTCTACTGTGCACGCTGGCTCACTGTCACATTTTAATGGCAACGTTAATGTTATTTGTAACACCTGTGCTTTTCCTACTGCAATAAGCTATTCAACTACTTCAGTCTTATGCCACATTGTAAAAGACAAATAATGATAATCATTATTTATACAGCGCTTTTCAAAGCAAAGTTACAAAGTGCTTGAAATGGTTGAACCAAGATTAAAACTTTTCAGGTCTGCAATGAGGGGAATAAAATCAAACAATTAAAAATAATACAAAAATAAAACTAGCATTAATCCACAATAAAAAATCACCAATAATATAAGCCATAAGACACATGTGATGGATAAAATAAAAAGCTTTTTTTTCTCAGGTCCTCCAATTCCAAAACATGCTCATGTGACTGTAAACACGCAAAATGTGAAGGTAGATGCTTCTGGGATGTATGTATGTGAGTGTGATGTAGTCACAGCTCCTCATGATGTGATTTAATGTTCGCACAGGCAATCATCCGCTGTGAGTTCATATGTAGAAACTTAAAGCTCTGAAGTGAAGGGAATAGGATTTCAGCGGATATTGAAACCACCCTGTAATCGTCCTAAGCATACAGGATAATTCTATCTCTCTCCGCCTCCTCCGTCTAACCCCTGCACATCTCTTCTCGCATTTTCCTCTTTCTCTCTCTTTCTGTCTCCTTATCTCTGTTGTAACAGCACAGGTTGGATTAACTTTACAGGGGCTCTTAAAGTTTTATATTCCTTTACTCCCAAAAGTGGCTTTGCATTTATTGGATTTGTGAATTTGACATTGGGAATTACGCTCGGTCAAATGTGACTAAAATCAGCAAATTACTGTTAAAGACAAGATTAAGGTTTCCGGCTACCTATGCTACCACATATACACATCCAGTTAACAATGTATATTACTGTATGCAACTTGTAGCTGTATACATTAAACGAAAATGAACACAAGTGATTCTGTCCTCAAATAATCTCTCTCTTTTTGAAGCAAAAGTGTTAATAAACTTTTGAAGTAAATTCAAGATTTTGCTTATTACTCAGTTTTGTTGAAATGGTTTGAGGACTTCTTACTTTCATAAATATACTGTATTTTTCATAAAGGATAAAGCATAAACCTGAAAAGGTATATTATTTAACAGAGTGTGTAATCTACAACAGGTTGAGAGTATTTGTGCAATCCTTTTTCAGATGTCAGAGGGGTGGTTGAGAGGATATTATAACCGTCTTTAATCTGGCTAAACATAAAGTATGGATAATCTGCTATCTCTTACAGTACTTTTACTCACTTAGTCTTGTTCCTCCAATTTGACTGGATTATGCAACTATGTAATCTCACTGAGGTTGCTGTAATTCCGTCTCTCATTTATCTTAAGCCATCTTTTTTTCTTTTATTCCACCACATACATGTGTTTCCTGCAGTCTTGCAATTTTATTCTGAGATGTGAACACACTCTGCATTTTCCACTGCTGAGTAAATGTGTAGTCTTTCACTCTGGGACCCCTGTTTTTATACCACACAGCAGAGAACTCTTCTACAAATTTCTTTTTTTCTCAAGTAACATTTTTAGTTTTTTTGTTTCATGTAAAAAAAAGAAAAGTAAACATGTTTTCCCACTCCTAATGCTTTAAAAATTTAAAAAGAAACTTGGAAAATCTGCCACTATATGGTAGTGGAAGTGTGACACCAACGGTACCAACAATGTTTTTGTTTCACTTTAAAGCTGTAAGTTAAAAAATGTAACAATGATAAAGAGTTGTGAGACATATATATAATACAGATAATGATCATTACTCCAGCCAATAGTTGCTGGTCTCATGAGTGGTGGTGGGGTGTGTGTGTGTGTGTGTGTTGACACAAAGTGATTGGACTGCATAACCTACACAATATGCTGTAGAACTAAACAGCACACAGTTAGCTCTGTTGTACTTGCTTGACAGATGGGAGTATATTAGTCATCGGTCTATTCTACAGGGAGACACTTCACTGTTTGAAAAATATACAGTGCTCACTAACTGATATGTCAACAATTCAAACACCCTTGAAGCCTCCAAATTTTAAACACTGTATCAACTTCAAGGAACCATGTGTGATGCATTAATCACTGCATTAATGATAATTTTACTAATTGGGGGAAGTGATTTAAGAGCTAACTGACAGTCAATTTGTGTTGTGCTAACTTTCTTTCTCCTCCTACTTCTCTCCACTCCAGGCTCCGACTACTCTCCCCCTCCCTCCCTCCCTCGCCCTCCTCCCCCTGGCCTGACGAACGAGCACAGTGGCGGAGGCAGCCATGGCGACCACGGTGGAGGAGGGGGCGGGGTCAACCACGGGGTTGGCGTGGTGGGCCTGGCCCCGGAGCACATCCCCACACCGGGGGCGGCACTGAGCTGGCAGGCGGCCATCGACGCTGCGCGGCAGGCGAAGATGATGGGCAGCGCCGCGACGAGCGGAGGGGCGGGGCTGGGGTCAGGAGGGGGCGGGCCCATTTCCACGGCCAGCTCCACGCAAAGGAAGAGACAACACTATAGCTCTAAGCCCAAGAAACAGACAACGACGACAGCCACAAGGCCCCCACGAGCCCTACTCTGTCTCACACTCAAGAACCCCATCCGCAGGGCCTGCATCAGCATTGTAGAGTGGAAGTATCCTTTAACTAATATGAGTGTAGGTTTGTTTTTATACTGTTTGCAATGTGGAAGCAACGAGTGTTTCACTTTCTTAATCAATTAACTTTTGTTGGATAGCCTGAAGGAAACCTGTCCAGGAAGGTTGCCCACATTAAGAACATACAAGATGGGGACGTTCAAATGAGGCAGATGAGAAAGTCTGTTCTTTTAAAATAAACCTACTTTAATGCAACTGAGAATGGAAAGACAATCTAGGAGGAATAAGGCAGGTGTTGCAAGTGCGTTGCATCCTGCCAATGTGGAAAGCATAGTGAATGGATAGATGCAGGTAGAAAAAAATCACAGAAAGGAGGAGGGCAGAAGGGTTGCAGGACATAAACAGGTTAAGAATACTTCATACTTCCCCTTTTGTGTAATATCACCCTTTCTTTTTATCCCTTCTTCTTTTCTTAATCAATCTTCTTCTGTCCAATATGTCTTAGTGTGATTCTCTTCTCTCCAGTCACTCGTCTTAATCCTTTCTCCTCTCCCTCTGTCTGTCCTTCCCTCCTCTCTTTCATCTTACATTCTTTTCTCAAAGGAGGATAAAACAAATTGTGTCATTTTCATCCCTCCTTCACACCTCTCCCCAGCATTATGTCTCTCCCTCAGCTCTTTCAAACTGCATTCATCCTCTCTCCCCTAGGTCCATCCATGCCTCTATTCCTCCTTTGCTTCCTCCACATCTCTCTTACCATTTATTATCCCTCTCTCACTCCCTCTGTCCATCCAAATCCCTTTATTCCTGCTCTTCCTCCAACCGTCCTTCCTTTTTTATACCCTTCCTCTCCTCTGGAGTTTTTTTTTTTAAGCTGCAGAACATAATGACTTGGTTTTCCCTCAGGGTAGAGGGAGAAAGGAAGAGAGACAGAAATGGTCAGTGTCACAGTCAAAGTGATCTATAATAGGAGAGGGTCCATATGAGCATGAACTCAGCAATAGCACAGTCACACATCGTCCTGAGAGGGAGAGAAAGAGAAGAAGGGGAGGGGTTGGGGAAATTAGAAGGGAAGGGATGTGGGCAGGGCATGGTTGTCGACAGGAGAGATGATGGAGCTGAGTAGTTGAGGGGGGAGGGAGGGATCGAGGGGAGGATGGGAAAGGTAAACAAGAAAAATGACATAGCAAGGGGAGGGCAAATAATATGTGAGGGGAAGAGAGGACAGAAGAACGGGGGATCATGAGGGGGGGAGAGGAGAGAAGTGAACGGCAGAGCGAATCGGTGAGGAAAGAAGATGAGTTAGAACTAGTGTGTGCTTTTTATGTATGTGTTTTGAAGAGGGTTGCATTAGGGAATTATCAAATTAGAGATGATAACATTGTAGGCTATAATGAGCAAAAGTACTTGCCGAAAAACACTGTTTGTTATAATTGTACGCCACACATGCCACATATCGTAAGCTCCAGGACTGGTTTGCAACCAAAATTGGCAAAATATGTTTTAATCAAAACAAATTTCAAGCCAAGAAGTGACTTCTGTTTGGGCTTTTATGGAATTACCTATTAGCATGATAGATTAAAATACTTTTTCTATTGGATTTTCACTCCAACATATCACAGCAGTAGGAATACCTTTTTAAATATCTAGTGATTAATGATGGCATAATTCTTTGGGACATTCTAAATAAACTGTAAATTGATCAAAGAACTACTAATGTACAATTTGTTTCTGTTTGCCCCTGCATTTGTTGTGATGGTTTTGCTCAGTTTAATGTGAAAAGCCAGACTCTTAAGTCCAAACAGGCATGTTTAGTTAAAGGTACAATGTGTAAGAGCTGAGACTACTCTACCTTTCAAATTCAATAGGGGGCAGCATACCACATATCCGGCTGCTAACTGTTACCTAAATAGCTCAGTTATCCGTGGAGCTGACTTAGCAGCCCCACCAGAACCGGAGCCGGTGAACGGAACCGGGCTCGGCATCCCATTGAACATAGCCGGACAGGGAATACAGTACCAAGGTGAATTACAGCGGCTCCGACCAGGACTCTGACTCTTGTGTCGACAAAGACACAGCAGGTTGAGTGGGAGAGGAGTGGGAGAGAGGTTGGGCATCAGAGAGGCCCAGCGTGTAGAGCCAATATTTTCTAACTCGGTGAAATAAGGGTTTCTTTCAATCAAACCAGTGTTGCTGATTGTTGGAACAGTTGAAAGACTAACCATACCAGTTTAGGTGAGATTTAGGCTGAAAGTACGGAGGTACAAAGTGGTAGTATGAGACAGAATGGGCAAGGGCTAGCTGCTTAACACGCTAACTTCAGTAGATATCTCGGCAACACAATATCTGTCTTTGACATAACCTATGAATTGTTACTTATTCGTATTCTGTTGATAATGTTGATTGTCTTAAACACAAATTCTGGCCATATCTTACACATTGCACCTTTTAAAATGTGTGTAATCTCCCTCTCTATGCATTAAAGCAGTAGAAGCAGCCAAAACATTCTACTGATCACTTTATGCAATACTTTATAATGTCCAGCTGTGCTTATCTTGTAGAAAAATAATAATAAGAAAAAAAGCTTGCATAAACCTTCAGGGTCACTGGAACAATCTCACCCAATGACTGATGAGCGTTCAGATCATTACCCACAATTCTCAGCATTATTCATTTAAACAGCTCTGAAGGGAGGGACGAAAGGAAGAGAGAGACAGAGTGACAGAGAGAAAACGGTGAGGGCAGGAGATGAAGGAAATATGAGGGACATTAAAGAGAGCTCTTAGGGAGAATGAGAAACCAGAAAGAGAGGAAGAATGTAGTCTGAGCCACACACACACAAACAAAAAAAACAGTAGCAGAATTACAGTAAATTTTGCCCTTGACTAGATTTAAAAATCCCCATCAAACTGTCAATCTTTCTGTGTGTTTGTCTATCTAAAAAATCTTTGGGATGTCCTTCAAAACTGCAGTGTGGGCCTGTTTAAATGCAGCATGTGGCTGAATGTGCTCTGTACTGTATGCATTTGTTCTGTGTTTGTGTGTAGTTATGCATTTATGTGTTGTTTTCATTCTATATAGGCTTTGCTGTGTATGCGTGTGCACCTGTGTGTGTGTGTGTGTATGTGTGTGTCCTGTATTCTGTGAGTACCTCTGTCTCTAGAGATAGCAGATCCAAAATCTTCCTCTCATCCTCCTCTGTTACCATGACAACAGCTACTGCTCTCAACAGGTCGACGGGGCCTGTCTAAGCTCACACACACACATGCACACAAACACACACTGAGATTAGAGAACACACACATAAACACATAAACACATACACACACACACACACACATACACACACAGACCCAGCACTCTCACATGCAGTGTAATTATAGCATTTAGGCATTACCTGCACACTGCAAGGGCAGTGTGAAAGACAAGGAGCGAGCGGGGGCAGGTGTACATCTAACTACTATGATCTCTACATGAAATCACACTAAGTGGTAGTTATAAAAAGTTGAGTCATTGAGTGCATTTACACATACAGACACGCACACAAACACACACTCCTGGATAACAGCTTATATATTGCATCAGGTCACATGAGGGGTTACGTTATTTGCATGCATTTTCAACTCAATCAGGAAAAGAGATAAATAATCTCAGCGTAACACAGAAGAGTGTTAAGCTCGCTCTCTCAGATAATATCAGTATATCCCTGGTTTCTTATTTGGGTTTGTCAAGATAAGCGATTATCTGTGTTATTGTGAGTTGCATGTGGTGTTTATGTGAGGCAACTGCTGAATGCAGAGTATTTCAGAAAATAACCACCGGTGTGTATCTGGATGCAATCCCAGTGCGACACTTTGTCGTAAGCATATACAGTTAGCTTGTTGAAATGCTGACTGTATGTTAAATTCTAAAATGCCTCAGACAGTAGCACTCTGGTGAATACCACATCAAATCTGCTGAGCTAACTGGATGCTGATTTTAATTTTTATGCTGATTTTCTTAGCTATCAGAGTAAACAATTCGCTTTTGGCAAAATCCTTACCACTACTATTTATTTGTTCCTATGCTGTTAAAGATTATGATTTGCTATTGTTATACTGATTCATGTACATTATTAATGAACTTGATACTTGTTTTGATTCTTCACTCAGACCCCCAGAATTTCCCCCAAAGTGTGTTTTGCTCTCAACGGCACAGCAGACGGTAGATTTATTATCATGTTGATGGAAGCAGACCTCAAGGGGTTTTTTTTAAATTATAGGTCAGGAACCCAGAATGAATCACAGGCCTGTTTTTCTGTGGGTCCCCACATGTCTGGAGTGTATTTTATGAGCCCCCGGTACAGGGTGAGTGATTAATTTCGACGCATTTTATTCCCATGCTGAATGAGCTGAATGATCTTGTGGCCGCTGATGTTCAAGGGTCAATCCTTAATCCAAACATAAAGTATATACAACATGATTCTTTGCCTTGCTCTTTCTCTGTCTGCAGGGCTGTTCCTAAAACAGCAGTTAAGGCTCGAAATGGATAGCAGGTCTGTTTCTAGAGGGGCCACACACAGCAAGATTGCTAGTGTGATTATAGGTGGTACAAGATTGTTAAAGTTGCTAAGTTCACTTCATCTTATTTCAACTGAAACTTATTTCTTTGTCAAAACAGTTCTAGCACGGGGTACCCCGGTGGCTCACCTGGTAGAGGGTTTTCCATGTATCAAGGCCCTTTGTGGCATATCATCCACAAATACACTGCAGATGTGGTTTTAGATAGCTATCTATCTATGCAATGATGATTGAACATTTGAAGTTCAGACTGGTGAGAAGTTCATGTTGTTGTCTTTTAGCTGCCATAAAAATCTTCCTGAATTTCAAGCAGGCAACCAGGATCAAACTGATCAAAGTTAACAGCAACAAAGTTATTATATGAAAATAGCTTTGTCAATGTTGGTGATGTACACACAGTGCAGACAATTATCCCCAGCTAAGTGTTGGATGTATTGATCTTTCCTCGCAGGCAGCCATTAGTTCCTATTCCTTTCACTCCAGTGTGAGTAAATATAATCAATCCATAACTGAGAACATCATATAATGTTTTATTTTTTCATTTACATTATGAACATATGGCATTTGGCTTTTCTTTTTGTTTAGTACTGCTTCTAACTCCCTTTTCTGGTCTTGGTAGGATGTAGACTATGGTGTTTCAGAAGTTTCTGTACACCTAGGTCCAACGTCCGCTGCACATGTACTCCAGCCACCACTGCCAGTTTTATAGTGTAGCAACAAGGGCATGATCCCTCATTGGCTTCCCACTCTCTAAAACTGCCTTTTGTTTTGGATGCAAAGTGCATCAAAGTAAGATTTGGTGCAGCAAATGATTAAATGTTCTTTTCAAGCTTGAAAAGCCTGCATTCACGGCTCATGGTTTGTCTTCTGGATTTGAGGTTCTGACAGCGCAACTCATGAGTGCATTGCTGTTTATGTTATACTACAAGGTCTGGAGTCTCGACTAATTTGACATGCAGCCAAGAGGGAAGGAAGAAAGGAAGGAAGGAGCAAATGAAAGAAGAGAGCAGAGGGGAGAGCAAAAGGAGGTGACAGCAGTGGCAGTTAGTAATTGTGTTGATGAAAACCAGACCTCCTTCTCTCCTTCACATTCTCTCCCTCCCTCTCTCACTCTTCTTCTACCCTCCATTCTCTCACTTTGTATCTCTCCCGCTCTCTGAGGCCGAAAATAATGAGGTCACTCCCCTCTCAAGGACCGTTCCATATAAAAACCCTCTGTGTCCCTCTTCTCTCTCTCTCATTCCATCTCGCTCTCACACTTTTTCTGTCCACATCCTGTCTTCCACGCGACAGGCCTGCTCCTCACCGCGCCCATATTAGGGCATGCACTGTCTCCCTAACCCGCCATGCACACGCAAAGAGGTTCCTAAGTGACCCAATATGTCTTAATGTTAACACAAAGGCAAACTCAACAGCTTTGATCTCTCTCATTGTGTACATTGCTTGTACTCTGCTATGTGTGTATATATACGTCTTTTTTTTGTAAGGATGTATTAACTTGTTTAAAAATACCTCTTGTTGAAATAACATGCCTGATATGAAGACTTTTTCTGTGGGAATGTCCAAAGTCAGAGGCTTTATTATTTTGTACTGTGTACTACAGATTTTTGTGGATCAGTGAAAACCTACCTGAACCTGACGTGTATATATTCATATTTCAGATCCAAAAAGGGACCTGAGAACAGGCAGAACAGGCCTGAAATAATAGATATATGACATATAATTACACTGAAATGTCAGTTAAAAGGAACCAGTTGACCTGGCATGATCTCTACTGTGTAAATATCTCTACACTTTTTGTGTACTCTGTTCTGGTTTGTATATTACTTAACCCTCCTCTCAGACCATTTGAGATCATCATCCTGATGACCATTTTTGCCAACTGTGTGGCCTTAGCCGTCTACATCCCCTTCCCAGAGGATGACTCGAACGCCACCAACTCCAACCTGGTGAGTAATCTACAATATTTAAACTGCTTTACAGTTAAATATGCTGGTTTAGATAACTGCTTGGCTCATTGTCTGTTCTCTTTCCTTTCATGGAAGACAGGTTTTCTTGTTTTTTT